TATAAAGAAAAGAACGTGTAAACACGAACGTTGTCTTTGACAGTAATATATTGAAAAAAAAGCAATATTACAATTTCCACTCTATCACCGTAGAATAATATCGAAGGCAATTGATGTACATTAACCAGATTAACAATGTATAATGAATAAATGAATATTTAAGTCGGCAGTAAGATAATTACAATCCATTAGCTGCGCCAATAAAGTTGCAGTCAAATTTTATTTCATACGAAAGCAAAATTTTCGCCAATTTTTCATTATCTACCTTATAATTATATATTTTTTTTATAATACAAATGTAGTCATCAAATACAAAGAATCAAATTGAAGCGAAGTGAGACGCCGTTGAATTTCCGGCAGCGAGATAAATTAAATTGTGTAGAAAACGTAAAGAGACGCAAGTACGCAAACATAATAGCCGTAATTAGGACAATTATTCGACGCAGCCTTTCTTATAGTTGTCGTACATGGCTAGCTCATGACAATAAACAACCGTGCGTATTTTATGAATTTCTACTGACAATGAGTGTTAGATTTAAACTTACTGTAAAACTCCAAATTGTAATAATACGAATGAGGCTGCCCCTATAATTCTCCCCTCAATAATTATAAAAATTTCATTATTAAGAAGCAAAGTATAGTATATGCACATAAGTATAAAAATAAAGATACAATCAAACATTCTAGATATTTTAATTAAAAAGAAAATGAATTATATTACATTAAAAGTATCCTTTAATATAAAATATAGCAAGGAGAGATATTATATGTAGCATTTGTAACACAATCTAGCATTAGCAATCTATTATATATATTTATAGGTATAAGTGAATTTACAATCTTCACTGGTTTCTTTGCATTGCGACAGAGAAAAATTTTTTGCGACAAAGACATTTTAGATAACATTTTAGATAACATGCTCGGTAATCTAAATCTCATAGATTACGAGATCCTCTTACATACATCTACGTGCTATGTGCTAATATTAAATTATAATCTACCTAGCGATCCTGGATGCAACTAGAGGGATTCGATATCATATTGTACAATCTCCGTCAATCTCGGGGTATGAGAATGATGTTTACAATCTGTTTAAGTTGTTTTTAACTCTTAACAACCATGAATGACTATACAACTGTAGCATGATTACTGCAGTATCGTCGCACAGCTTTTTTAGTTTTTACCATATACAAAACCAAGATTACAAAAGATTTTTAGGGCCCTACCTGTCCATTAATTTCATATTAAAAAAATTTGAAGTTTTGAAAATAACAAAAGAGTTACAATTAAAATTTTTATAAATTTTTACAGTATAATTAAAATTTTTATTAACTTCATTAACTTTATTAACTTTATTAACTTTATAGTATAAACTTTACGATATTAAAACTTTATAAATCTTTAAACCTTTAATAAAATCTTTTATAAATTTTGTATAATACAATTTTAATTATAAGTTTAGTTTTTATAAGTTTAGTTTTATAAATAAAAAATTTTTCTCTAATCAATTATTGATTAAGGAATCAAAATTACAATCTTTAATTATCTCATTTAAATATCTCATTTTCAATAGAAAACACGAGCATTTTTTAGCTTTTCTTGCCCCATTATAGAGCATGAATATGATCTTATCAATTTTAATTTAGTCTAAATTACTTTTAGCGGATGCCATATAGTTATAGGTAGAGTAAAATATATTCCTAAAGCTATGACTATATTTGAGAATTTTTTTCTTCCAGATTATTTTTCATTATATAAAGTAATAATTCTTTTCTTTTCTCAGTCTTTTTTCTCGATCATTTCCTGAGGGCCCTTAGCACTGCAGTCTAGGTGCGGTGCACCTTCAACATCCTTTCTTTTGCACGGCTCCTTTTATAAAACCTACACAACGCACATACTGCTAACACTACAGTTATAAGTTAAGAGTTACAGAATAGATCCTTAATCATCGCCCTTTATCATTACAATCTCACGAAAAATAATCTTTAAAGTGGAACTGAGGTTCACGAGGTAACGTTGGAACGTCACGATTATTTTTACTTACCTGCATGGGACTACTTTGATTGTCCACTTTGTCAATACCATCCACTGGTTGTTGAGGTCCGCCCAGCAGTGCCGTGAGGACTCTCAAACCCACGGAAAGCAGATTGGTCCATGGACTCACAGTCGTACCATCGTCTATCTCATTTTTACTGGGTCCAGCTACACCTCCGGTCTGACCTAGCAGCATTTGCATCAGCATTCCTAACATATTAGACCATGAGAAACCGCTGCTGCTACCTTCCTGCACAGACCACCAAAGAATATCACGATATGATATAGTGGAAAAAAAGACAAGTTGCTGAATTTTGTGTGATATATACATATCTATATTAAAAGTGTAACGGAAAATCGAATAACATTTTATTCCTTCGATTCCTAGATATATTATTGTGATTGTATTGCATGTTTGACATAATAATATAATAATTGAATTAAATTAAACAATTATAATTTTAAATAAAGCTCTAAATGAGTACAAATTTAACTAAACAAATCAGGGCTAAAGGAGTTATATTGAGAAGCTACGTATCTATTATACTAATAATCAATAAAACATCATCTTTAGTAATGTCTATTCTATAATTATAGTGTATAAATTCTAAGTTAGTCAATTAAAATCAATTATCATGTCACTTGTTTAATTAATCACAAATTATTCAAAATGAAAATGGATAATATTATCTTAATCCTTGATTCCTTTGAAATTCCGAATAATTTATGTTCGCAATCATTGCCATTTAAACATCTAATGATGAAAATCCACATAATAAATATATCTTCAGAGAGGATAGAAAACATTAAGTAGGGGACAACTGAGACTCTGTAGGGGACTACAGAGTAAATTAAATTAATTGTTCGTGCGCACGTGCGTCTGAATCTTTTACCTGAATTTGATTAGTGCTAATATCCTCGAGATCATCAATCGCCACTTTTTTCATCGCATTCGGTTTCTCAGCGAATTTTCTCTCCTCTCTGATCTGTTGTTGTTGATATGGTTGCGGGTATTGCAGCGTGTATTGAGAATGTTGCGGTAATGTCGCGACTTGTCCCAAGACAAGTGCGATCAAGCAGAGCGATACGTGTTGGTTATATTGCATTCTGTAATAAAAAAAAAGACATTTTTGCTGAATTTTTAATTGCACATAATTTATATAAGAGTAATTTATATAAGACTATCTGTAAATTAGAATGAATTTCTTGCCAAAAGGAGCTTTCTCCATATCATTTTTAGCATAATTTCTAATCTGTAAATATTTATACAACGTGAAAATTACAAATATTCTTTTCACAACCGGCGATTGTATTCACTGATATACACATTCCCCGGGTATTTCACAAAAGTCACATGCATGCGCGCATGGATTATATTATTAATTATCAGGGTTTAGGAAATGAAAGAGTACTATTCCATTACTTTTTCTGTTACTTTTTATAATAACAATTTAATAATGACGTTGTAATTTTTTATGATTATAATAATTAACTAAACGCTGAGATTGAGAAAGTCATTTTGAAAAATCACTCGCATCATTATGCATTTACCAACTGAAAAAGATAATTTGTAACGTAACCTTGTTATAATACCTAAAAAGAAATGAGTTACAAATGCCGAGTTAATTTTTTTAACAACGAGTGACTTTTCCAATGTTTTACGAGTAATGATCGAGTGATTTACCAACTTCGATGTTACCCAATATAGTTATACAAAAATTCATTATCACCAAATTGTTATAACAGAGTAATGATAAGGGAAGCGTAACAGCGTTACAAGTAACTGGTATTACTTCCATTCTCTGATTATTATGCATATATCACATATATGACATAATCGAACGTATATTTATATAGGAGGTACTAATTATATACAAATTTTGTTAGAAACTTTAATGTTTATAGAGTAATATAGAGTGACTTGATTTTGGAAACTCAGCAGAAAAAGATATGCAGTACGAGATAATTTAGGGTGATTCAGAAATGAAAGTATGTTGCGAACGTACAGTTGAAACGTGAAACGATGATTCTGACAAATAATGATAGAGTAATTCAATTGATATTCAAATGTATCTCTTTATTTGTTTCATATTGCGAGAAAAATTAAAATTTGCGCAAGTAAAATAAAAATCCTTCGATGATATCATACAAAATTATAATTACTCCGTAATTTTTTCCCACCATCAGAAAATATTAATCAAAACTAATATGATTATTATTGTATTCTAGAAAAATAACAACAATGTTTATGGATACTGTTGAAATGTGAAAATAAGAAATTGTCTCTTTTCTTTTTAAAGACGATACATAAAATTGCATATGACAGTTATTTACAATAGATTGAATCTTAAATATTCAATTTAATTGTGAAATAGAATACAGATAGTGAATAATAGGATTTATAGGGATAAACGACCGACGATGAGCTTCACCTTGATCTTTAACAGAACAAGAAACGGAAGGGATTGAGTACATTTTGCGGGCATAGTAGCAGAGTGCAAGTCGAGAATGTTTGAGTACGATGCTGCTGAAAGTGTGCCACAGTGGTTAAGGTCGCTTCGACGGTAAGCATGCCGATCGCTCGTTAGCCCACTTGCCGATGGCACGCCGGTGCTGGTTTGTTGAACCCGACAAGTACCGTTACTCCAAAAGGCGGTCACGACCTACTGCCGATCGTAGCAACGACCGGTTCTCGTGTCCGCCGAAAAAAAAAATAAATAAAAAAAACAAAGTAAAAAAAAAGAAGGGAAGTAATCGATGCGATGATCGTGGAAGTCGAGGAATCCACAAGTAAAATCCACAAGTAATAAAGTCAACAGCATCTATCTTACGAATGTCTTACGAATGTCTTCGGAAACTTTTCGCATGATCTCTTCACTTTATATAAATAATAACATCACTGAGTAACACTTCTCATTATCTCATGGATTTATAAAATTCATAAGTATTAAGTGAAAAAGAATTTGTCAACTCAAGTAGTATGAAGCGTTAAAAGTGCTAAAAAAAGTATATAGCTTCTTTTAGCGCTTTCCAGACGCTGTTATGCTACTTGAGAAAATTTTTTTTACATCGAAAATTATTTTATATATTTTGTTTATATTTTTATATTATTATTACACTAACTATTTTTCCTGAAAGCTTCGATTTTCGGGCCAATTTCGAGTTAATTGTAGAAATTAAAGAGTATTCAAGGAAAAATGACATGACTATCGATGTTCAATGCGTGGAGAGTCTTCATTTTATCCAAACATTTTTTATTTAAAATTTGAAAAAAACATTTTCAATTAAAAGTGTGTCATGTCCGTCTCTTTAGAAAAGATGATGTTATCATCGACATTTGAAATTAGTACTTAAAATGATCATGCATACTCTTTCATATACGATGATTTTATTGTCAATTTATAGATAATATATAAATTTGAGTTATAAACAAAATGATGTAATTGAAAATGATGAATTAAATGATGTTAATATCGGTGACGATGAAGGTAACAAAGTGACGATTGTGAAAGCAATGAGAAAGATTGCTCTCACTGACGACGAGAAACGATGCACGGCGCACCTTTGGAAAACGGTACACGTCACGGTGAAAAAATTACAAAACGAGTTTCTAACTGTATCTTTACACCTGGCGACAAACATTTTCTATTTAGTTGCCTGCGATAAATCTGGCGTAGAAAAAAAATTTGCAAATACCTCTCATGAGGTTATTGGGAGCGGTTCCGTAATGACAATTCCTAGTGACAGAAATTAAGCCAGAAAAATTATTTCTAGAAAAAAAGGTTAAGAAACATTCACGTGTTATTTAAATATTTTATGTGAGAAAAACGTTCAAAAGAATTATTCCAATTTTAATTGCATTGTTGCACAAGAATGAAATATTTTTTTAATTATTTATCTTTAAGACGCAAAGCTTGATAAATATAGTTTATCATGCAAGTATATATCTATCAAGTAAAAGTAAACACAGGGCAAGTAACTATTAAGTAAGACAACAAGTAAATTAATTATATTAAATAATAATAATAATAATAATAATAAATAAAATATAAATATAATAAATAAAATATTACATTGTAAATACAAATTGCAAATTAGATTTGATTTAAATAAGTTTTACTTTTGGAA